CACAGATATACACTGAGAGACTATGGAAGGCGATGAAAGACACTGAGAGACAGAAATACACTGAGATACTGTGCGGGTGATTATGAGAGAATATGATAGACAATGACAGAGACAAGGAGATACACTGAGAGACTATGAGACCATCTTTGTTTCAGACTCTACTTCTAAGACATCTTTAAGTCGGCTAATCTAGGAAGGGTGGTGTCACAACAAGAATTCCAGGTCCCAGATAACAGAGTGATTGGTTCCTTCGTCGACGGTCTGGCATCGCAGTCCCTCTGAGGATGTTTCACAACACTATCGATGAATCTCTTAGAGAAGGGGTGCGTGATCTGGGTGTTTCCAATCACTCATCATTTCCCGCCTGGGTTCGATTCCGCTTATGAGCACAATGTGAGAAACCGTGATATTGCTGAAATTAAAGTGGCGGAAAACCATACTCGCCCGCTCGCCAGTGAAATTCCCATAAAACCAAGCGCGCGCACACACACACAAACATACGCACACACACATACAAATACACATACACACACGTACACACACGTACACACACATACATACACACACTCACACACAGTCTCACACACTAGATACACACGTGTACATACATGTACACACACACACACACACACATACAAAGCTACATGTTCATATACCTTAAAGCTAAAACATTCAGTATAGTACAGATATTTTTTTATTTTCCCTGTTCCACTTAACATTAAAGCAGTAAGGTTAGCCTCTGGTTGAACCAACATGAAACGCTGTACAAATATTGGGCTTTTGTCACCTCCAGCACGACGTTGTGTGTAGTATGATGTACACTGCAGTGTCATTCAAGGATAAAATTGCACAGGATCAATAATCAGGAAAGTAGGACAGTTTGTTTCTCTAAATGTCGTTGTGGTGGGGGCAAGTTTGACATCGTTACAAGCAACAACATGCGCAATAGGGCGGCGACGTATGTTGCCCTTTTTGGCTTGTCAACACTGGCTATCATTATGTATGAATTAGCAATCTTTCATTTGAGAGCTTTATAAAAATGTATAAGCACATTATTTTCTATTATATTGCACGTTTTACTCGGTTTTACGCTTGTAGTCAGAGGCGACTAACCGGATCAGGTGGTCGGGTGGTCAGGTGGTCAGTATTGCTGAGTACGTCCTTAAACAACAAACAAACAAACATAAGTGGACACACACCAAGGACATAAAAAAGGGAAATATAAATGCAAATAGGAAAAACATGCAGGTAAATTGACCTGGTAGCATCGCGTATTTCAAATTGAATTGACTGTTTGGCAATGCGTATTGTGACATTGCTCTATTGAGATTCAATAAATATACATGCATAATATTATACTGAACAACAAAAGTTCCTGTGACATTGAATAAGATTTAATGCAAAGTTATGTTTTTTACCAAATCTAAGACAATTTCGGTTTGCAACAGATATAAGACTCCTGTAAGTGTTCAAATGGTTTAATTAGCCTTAATGACTTCAGAAAGTGCGTGATTTCATTAAAAAAATTAACATGCCAAAATGTCAATTTACAAATCAATAGCATGTGTGTCCAGCTCTGGTTGCGATGCAAGCAACACATCTTCGTCTCATGGAATGGGCCAGGCGTCGCACATAGTCCTTTGGGATATCTGTCCATATCTGCTGGAGCATGTTGAAGTTCCTGGAGTGTCTGTTGAACACGTGGTTAACATCGATCCATCTCATCCCACATATGCTCGATTGGTGAGAGATCAGGGGAGCGAGCCGGCCAGGGGATGACATTCACGTTGTTTTGTTGAAGAGATTCCTGAACAAGTCGACCAATATGAGGCCGGGCGTTGTCATGTTGAAAGGTAATGCCTGGCAATGACGACGCAAAAACGGTAGAACAACAGCGCCGATGATCTCGTCGCGGTAGCTCTGTCCATTGAGATTTTCCTCTACCACTATCAAACGGGTCCTCTGTCTTGCTGTAATCAAACCCCATACCATAACGCTGCCGCCCCCGAACCGATCTTCTTCAATGACACAATGATTGACGTAACGTTAACCTCGACGTCGGTACACTCGAATCCGTCCATCGCTGATGCTGAGGTGAAAACGAGACTCGTCAGGGAATAGAACTTGTCCCCACTGCATCCGTCCAGCGTAGACGCTGTCTGCACCACTGTAGACGTGCTTGACGGTGATTTCCTGTCAAAATCGTCTGGCGGATATTCTGTCAACAATCCCTGCACATCTGAGGCGACGATGTACGGCTTGTGAAGATATCCGTCGAAGGCCAGGGATGCTTCTTGCAGTCACTGTTGCTGGCTGGTATCGATTTCGTAGGTGTGTTGTTCGAATCCAGTTGTCTTGTCGATTATTGGTTACGCGTGGCCTGCCACTCCGAGGATGGTCTCTGACTGGATTCGTCTGTCGCCAACGTTGCTATAAACGCCAAATGGTGTTTCTGTGGACGTTAAATTGTCTTGCAACATTACGTTGACTCGATCCTGCTTCAAGCATTCCAATGGCTCGCAGACGCTCATTTTCGGACAGGCGTGGCATTTCGTAATGTTGAATAATTGCATAATTTTGTTGTTTTTTTCTGAGTGGTTGTTGTCAGCACGATGCTAAACAATGCACATATTTTTTTTACCCTTTCTTGGGTAGTGAAATGCATGGGGCTTGCATAAAAGTCAACTTTTGCATGGAATGCTTGCTTTTCTGTAGCAGTTGCGTTTTTGTGACTTGATTCAATACATGTACTTCAATATTGAAAATCAAACTTTACTTCTTTGAAAATTACACTAAAATATTATTGTCACAGACACTGTTATTGTTGAGTATATGTATATTGGGCAAAGAGCAATTGGTATCACATTTGTCGTAATTGATAGGGTATAACTTAAGGTATAGTTTGCATGCATGAACATGTTCTTTGAAATTATGCGTGCTCCCTGACATATTGGATCAAAACTCTGATTCTCTTGCGCTTATTATTTTAAGTCATCTCCGATAATTATATAAAAAAGTAGAACATGACATTTGCATACCATTACAGAATGCGAATATGTGCATAATCCTCAAAGAAGGATAGGATATAAACCATATGTATTCCAAAGAATAGTGTTGACTGATAAATATATCCGCTCGCTGACCCTTGCCCAGACTATAACATCGTGATCACAACACAATAATAATGCTTCTTAAAAAGCGCACTTTGCAATTTGCAGTGACTTGTTTACACATTATAAGTATCAGCACACATGCAGCTATCTTCGTTAAGAAATACTCGCGATGTGGCGAGGACGAAACATCCACAGTAAAAACCACGCAAAAGGAAGGGTTATTTTTAACCCGTCGGGCCTTCGACTTTTATAAGTTTTCATGCGTTTTAACACCAATAAAGCATTTAATTATATGTAACCTCGTATTCAAACATACCTGTTGTTTCCTCATATCGTATGAAGTTACCTTTAGCTTTTACTGCACCGAATTCTTCAAGATCGGTTTATTTTTCACTTTCTTCCTGTTTTCTTTTAGGTCTTCAAAGTCTGGAAATAATCTTGCAAGTACATTTATTTTTCTCTTTTTCTTCTATTTTATGTTTTTTTTGTGATATATTGTTTCCATTTTTAATTGATAAAAGGACCTCAGGTAACCGGCCAATCATTGTGTATTGGTTTTGGTTTACTGTAGACCTATATTGATCAATTGTTTCATCAAATGTATTTGGTACTAAACGCATATATTCTATGTCATAAAGTAGCGTCTTTTTAAATTTTTATAAACCCTTGCCCCTTTTAACTTCATTTATGTTAAGGTAATTCTATTCTTGGGAAGCTAGGCTCTGTACTTGTAAAGACCATTGAAGAAAGCAGTTTATGAGGAATCAGAAACATAATCTATGCGTGATTGTTTCAGGGGAGCTTTCGCCATGTAAACCATCTTTCGTCCGATTTTTTTCCTGATACATCACATATATGTGTAAGTTAAACAAGTTTGCCGTTTCACGCGCATTTGATTTGAATAAACTAGCGTAGCGGTGTGAAAAACTACATTATTTTTAATGCTTTGTTCTTGAGCTTTAGCAAAATTGATATCTTCTTAGCAGTAAATTAAAGTTATTTTTGGTTGCAAATTGAAACACCAGTGTCTCTTAAAGTCCTCTGCAGTTCACAGAACTTAAAACATGTGTTATCACTATTCTTATTTAGGATCATAGGTTCAGTAAAAGCCTCCAACATCATTTGTATTGAATTTGTACTTAAAAATAAACCGATGTTACTAGCTGATTAGGCTATTGTGTAGGTATTAGTTGATTGAAAAGAATATTGTTGAGATGCCCCTGTGTGCAAATTTGAGGTTGTTCTACATGTGTTGGTAGCAGATCATCAATACCTATATCTTTGACTTCAACTCAATGATGATACTTTGAACTACACTGAGTAAGGGCCGACCAATGAGGCAGACTCGATGACCTGGCGAATGTGTGCCATCTGACGTTGTTGATCATCCCCCATTGCTGTTCAGTCTCAGTTTTGACTAGTTTTGATATACTCATTTTCACACGCAGTCGTGAAATAGCTGGAAAAGCACTTCATTATTAGCCTCTTGTGCCAATAAGGGCCAAACATAATACATATTGACATATTGCAATTCACGCAGATTAATGAAATATTTCATGTAAATTTAAGTAGATAATCTCGTTAAAATAACGCGACAGGCAGGAAATAGGCCGAACTGTTACATAAAAGTAATCGAAAGCAAGCAAGTATTTTATCCCTAAACACGTTCAAAGCAAATATAAACAGCTCGACTATAGAATATGTGAACATATTAGCACATTTGGTACACGGAAAGTTGGTTGCATGTCAAACCATTCACCGACGCATTGCCATTACAGCATTTGGTATATATTGAAGGATACAGTTTTGAAGGAATACGCTTGGTTTCCGTGATGACACTTGTTCTGTGATATTGGAGAGCACCTGTACATGTTCCTGTATGAGAAAATGAACCGTTGTTCTATTTTGCTGGTGCAAATGTTGACCATCCTGGCAGGAGGGTCCTCCGTTGTGTTTGGTGAGTTCGTTTGGAGTTTTAGAATAATAGTACAAAATCGAAGTAAAAGATGACGCCTTAAAACAAACTTTGATATTCTATAAAAAGGCCGATAAATGCATATACCAATCTTTTTTAGATATTATCCTTTGCTGAATGCGACAACACAAAACTATGTGCTTTCCTTCAATGTAAAACGGATCAGAATATCTCCCAGATCAGTTAATCCAACTGATCATGGTTTTTTACGTTTTCAGGCAGTACTGACAAGACGTGTGACTTTGGTCATGTCACTATCATTTATTAGTCATAGGTCTTATTGGATATACTCTCGTTCTGCAAACAGAAATCACTAATCGTTTAATCGTAAGGTTTCAGATGTCATAATAACATAGTTGTAATAACAAAATCCTATAACAAATCCATGACGTTTAGGAATGTAAAGAGTGAAGTGTATTGTCATCTAACCTTATAATGACATGGTCAGTGCTGTTTGAAACGTGTCCTTGTACAATGCTACAGTGTCGTACACAAATCGCGAAGTCCTCGAACTCCATACAGCGAAACCGCGTCACGTAATGTTTATTATCATTGAATTCAGATGTAAAATGCATACAGGCAACATACAAACTTAAGCCTACTTGGCAATGTGTCCACAAACAAACGCTTCGCATCCGTTTGTTTTCAAATCATAAACATGATGGTAAGATAGATTGAAAAAGGTAAGACGTTAATCGGCGCTTAAAGACCTGGAAACTTAAAGTTCGAGTGTGATATTGTTCCACACAGTAGCAGCGGAAAAGAAACAGGATCGATGGTCATAGCTGTAAAAAACTTTACTGGTGGTACAGTTAGGAGATGGTGAGATTCAGACCTCAGGGTACATGAAGGGAGGTAGATGCACAGAAGGTCACCTACATAGAGTGGAGCATCAACTAAAAACACTTTTCGGTATTCCAAAGCCGTTTGAAAGAGATTCTGTAGGGCACAGGAAGCCGATAGAGAGTACTGGAGTGGTGTGATGGTTCACTATTCGTGAAAAATGTACCAATGTTTCGTAACCGCAAGAGCAGGGGGAATGCAAAATGAAATTATAAAAAAGTATCGCTCGGAAACCAAACACAAGCATCCTGTATACATGGCAAACACACACCCCACTATACTATTCCCTCACCACACTGAATACTAACCTCATCATGATATTGTACTTAGATAACATATTTTGTTTTATCCCACAGGCTCTCTAGTACTGACAAGTTCTCCGGACACAGCTACAGATGGTGAGCTGTTCACCATGACGTGCACCAGCAGCCAGAGCGGGGGTCGGGCCTGGTCAAGGGATAAGCTGTATCCTGTCTTATATACACAGCAAGGAAACTCAAAAGTAATTCTGGTTAGTCCTCGCCTTACCAGAGACTTACTCGGACGTGTCACAGCCTCTGGTAGTTCTGATGGAACACAAAATAATGTCACCCTCAAGATAAATTCACGCATCGACAACGGTACTGCGTGGATGTGTAGAGATGAAATACATGGCGAGACCAGCAACACATTAACAATAGGTTAGTATATGAACTCCTTTTAATTATTTGAACTATGAAGTGACCGGAATGAGTTGAATATAAAATAAAAAAACTTCTTTGGATAAGAATATGGGCTAACACATTGTACATTTTTGTCAAATCAGTGGCTGTAGTTGCACCGCCCACGACAATGGTTCTGACATCATTGAGATCAACACAGTCGACGCCGACAGGGATTTCTGTATCAGGTAAGGAGCAACAACTCGGTATTGTACACATTCTGTTTCAATATACTGCCTTGTCAGTTAACAGAAGTATTGCTTGACATAAAGATCCCATCATTTATCAATATATAAATTTTGTACCCACGTATTGTTGAAAAAAGGTTTATTTCTAACATGTGCACCAAAACGTGCAAAGTCTTGGCTGACAGAAGATACCTGTAACGGATGCTTCTGACCATGATCATCTCTGTGCAAACATGGAGATTGTGAGTGAATCGAACCATATCGGTAACATGTCGACTATTCAGTGACTATGATTTATTGATAACAAAATGAGCGTGTACATATATATTATTAAGCCAAGAAACAGTATATATCATTTAATTGATAGTGAGATTAGAATCTGTGAACTTTTAATATCTTAATGCATTTGACGTGCGTCGTGAACATATGCAGAAAAATATCAATAATCCTGAAGACATCAACACCACCATGTGAAAGGAAAGTCAGAAGTGATGCGGTTCTTACACGTTTAACATTTTAATGAAACCTACGATCATGGGCATAGTGATTGGGTATATATATAATCTCCATGTGTCCTAATGTGCTGGCTTTACAGATGCAATATGTCTTGGTACATGAACGATAATCCCAACACATGAACTGATCATTTAGAGACTTTAGTCAGAATAATTTTCAATGAAAGTCATGCATTGATATTGTAAATTAAATTCTGCCAATATATATTTTTTTATACGTTAATCCAGATGCAGTGGTGAAGAGCCGACTGTCGCCTACTACAACAACAGTTATACTCGGGTTCGATTCCCGACATGGGTACAATGTGTGGAGCCCATTTGTTGCGTCCCTCGCCGTGATATTGCTGGAATATTGCTAAAAGCGGCGTAAAACCATACTCACTCACTCCCTTATTAGACGCTGGGACTCTAAAACAATCCAGCTCTCTAATACATGCTGGGTCTACATGAAGTAATGACTTTATTCATGACAACATTTTTGTGATCGATATAAATTGACATCACTGTCAACCACTGACGTTAGGGTTTGGCAGGAGGGAAAGTCCATCTGAATACACTCCTCCCTTCGAAAGGCCACTCATAAAGGTTCCGATATAACTGAAGTCACAGCACAAGCACTTGATCACAACAGCGTATCAAACTTGATGAAATTCATTTCACAGCTTGGAAAACATACACGAGCCGTTATGTCAGGGGTTCAACTGACACATATCTTTCACATGCTGACGTCGACTTACCGTGAGATCTTAAAACCCTTGTTTCAAAATGCCGGTTCGTCTGCAGCCTAAAACAAAGCTGTTCATCAGTCATACGCTATGCAGTTCCATTGCCAATCACGTTGTACCAGCAGGCTCATTGCCAATAAATCTACAAGTGAATGGCAGCTATTGACAGCCATTGACAGTAACCGTGATGTAGGTCAAGTTCTGCCACATCCAAGTTCTGGGTTGAGAGGCATTTATTTTGAATTTGTATTCTTTACTGGGGGTGCTTTGTTAACGAATTAAAAATACTTGCACATTTTAAATAAATAGTAGAATGTTAATTCATAAAGTTTGTTGGAGAAATATATTCCTTCAGTATTTAAAAACTAGTTCTACAACCTGTCTCAATGGGAAATGGCATATTTGAATTCTAAGAAATGACTTGTCCCACTGATTTCCAAGATATGACTTTCTGAATCTAAACAGTGACCACCAGGCAGGTTGGCAATTTAAAAAATTTCTTTGGACTAGGTTTGGAGGGCTTTTTGTCAACTTCTTTTTAAAAACTACAAGTCAAGACTATGGATATTTCAATGTTATAATTTAGAAATATTTGTTACATATACATTCACCTGTGGCCCCTTTTCATAATGTTCTAAGATAGCGGAACTTTGTACCCTGTGTAGTTACGCGTTGCATGAGACCAAGGTTGTCAACGCGCTCTTGTCGTCAGGATAGAAAGGATATAAACCTACTGTGTTTTGAAACTTGATGTGATCCCACGGTAGAGTAGATCCATCTTATTTTAATTTGGAACTGAGTTGTGGTTTTAACAGGGTGAGGTTTTAAATGTATAAATAAGAGGTATCTACTCAACAGTGGGACTACATCAAATTTTAAAACACAGAAGGTTTATCTCCTAAATGTTTGAAGTAGCTCTCATACCGTGTCTGTCGTACTCCGACTAATTAAATAGTGTTGTTTAAATATGAAATGAATGGACAACCTATTTTGGTTAAACTTTTTCCTCACGACATAAACATAACACTTCCTTATCAGGTAATCGCTCGTTAATTCTTTTTTTCAGATTCACAGATCATACATTCCTTAGTCCGCATACAATATGTGTTGTTTCCCATTCGCTTCCGATGCTGAAATACGGCCGGATCCTTATTTTTTAAATAAAACATTTGGCATCCTAAAATAGTTATTATTTTCCAAAATGTGTCCTATTCTGACGACCAGCTATTAGATATAAGTTACAGTGAAGCTATAAAGCTGACCTCCACGTATTATATAATTGCTCTCGTTAAATGCGATTACGAATTAAACTTGCGAGTGGTTGTAATAAAACTTCGATGTAATGAAATTCGACCTACGCACAAATTTGTTATTTTTTATGATAAAAGAAACTTAAGAAACTGTCCGGAAGTCCACAAGCATCAATTTTGAAAATGGGGTAACACGCTGTATATGTTACTTTCAGTGATCGTCGCAGCAGTTGCAACTGGTGTGGTCACCATCGTCATTGTCGTCGTGGTTGTGTGTATATGGAGAAATAGAAGGAATAGAGCAAGAAAAGGTATCACTATTTCTTTGATTACACAACACCAAATGGTCATATTGTTAAAAGTGATTTTATAATATCAAATAATTAAACGTTCGTTGTGGTCATTGTAATTCCTGCATGCTGATTCGTTGAATTGGATACGTGTTATTGCACTTATTTCCCAAAAGAATGTAAAAAAATAAGTCACCCCCACAGACGCGGACTAACTTGTTTACTACGGAATGGGGAAGTTCAATATTACAATCGAGGGAATTCCCTTTCTGCTCACGTGTATCGTCATGCACAGGACATTTTAGTGAAATTCATGCATAGTCATGCTCCAAACCACCCTTTCGGGCCGAAGGCTTAACAGGAATGGCACATATAGCTCATAGTGAATAATGTCTATCTACTGGAAGTGCATGGTTTACAACAGCCTACAGCAGACACAATATCACAACATTAACAAACATCATCTGTCTCCATAAGTACGAAACGTACAAAGCTCTGATCGATTGGGCGTTCGTCGCGTGAGTAGCACAATAATAAAATAATATATAATATCTTCACTTTACATTTTGCTCATTTTGTTGGAATGTCATCAGATATCCTACACGTTAACATCGGGTCACATATTTATTATGTTGTAGATTACCATGACTCCAGCATCTACACGATCCCTTCCGTCTATGAAGACATGATCAGCCAGTACTGTGATCTCCGTACCCACTACGGCAACACACAGGGTGAAATAACTCACTCTAGCTTCGTCAACACACATGAGGAAACAGCAGCCTCTTGTAGCGTCAACACACATTATGAAACAGTACCTTCTAGCTACTTCAACATAGATGGCGAAACAGCACCCTCCAGCTAAGTCAACACACAGGATGAAACAACACCCTCCAGCTACATCAACACACAGGATGAAACAACTCTCTCCAGCTAAGTCAACACACAGGATGAAACAACTCTCTCCAGCTACATCACCACACAGGATGAAACAACACCCTCCAGCTACATCACCACACAGGATGAAACAACACCCTCCCGCCAAGTCACCACACAGGATGAAACAGCACTCTCCAGCTACATCACCACACAGGATGAAACAACACTCTCCCGCCAAGTCAAAACACAGGATGAAACAACACCCTCCAGCTACATCACCACACAGGATGAAACAACACTCTCCCGCCAAGTCACCACACATGATGAAACAACACTCTCCAGCTACATCACCATACAGGAAGAAACAACACTCTCCAGCTACATCACCACACAGGATGAAACTACACTCTCCCGCCAATTCAACACACAGGATGAAACAACACTCTCCCGCCAAGTCAACAAACAGGATGAAACAACACCCTCCAGCTACATCAGAACACAGGGTGAAACAACACTCTCCCGCCAAGTCACCACACAGGATGAAACAACACCCTCCAGCTACATCACCACAAAGGATGAAACAACACCCTCCAGCTACATCACCACACAGGATGAAACAACACTCTCCAGCTACATCACCACACAGGATGAAACAACACCCTCCGGCTACATCACCACACAGGATGAAACAACACTATCCAGCTACATCACCACACAGGATGAAAAAAACACATTCCAGCTACATCAACACACAGGATGAAACAACACTCTCCCGCTACATCACCACACATGATGAAACAACACTCTCCCGCCAAGTCACCACACAGGATAAAAAAACACTCTCCAGCTACATCACCACACAGGATGAAACAACACTATCCAGCTACATCACCACACAGGATGAAAAAAACACATTCCAGCTACATCAACACACAGGATGAAACAACACTCTCCCGCTACATCACCACACATGATGAAACAACACTCTCCCGCCAAGTCACCACACAGGATAAAAAAACACTCTCCAGCTACATCAACACACAGGATGAAACAACACTCTCCAGCTACATCACCACACAGGATGAAACAACACTCTCCCGCCAAGTCACCACACAGTATGAAACAGCACCCTCCAGCTACATCACCACACAGGATGAAACAACACTCTCCCGCCAAGTCGCCCCACAGGATGAAGCAAAACCCTCCAGCTACATCACCACACAGGATGAAACAGTACCCTCCAGCTACATCACCACACAGGATAAAACAATACTCTCCAGCCAAGTCACTACACAGGATGAAACAACACTCTCCAGCTACATCAACACACAGGATAAAACAATACTCTCCCGCCAAGTCACCACACAGGATGAAAGAACACCCTCCAGCTACATCAACACACATGATGAAACAACACTCTCCCGCTAAGTCACCACACATGATGAAACAACACCCTCCAGCTACACCACCACACAGGATGAAACAACACTCTCCCGCTAAGTCACCACACAGGATGAAACAACACCCTCCAGCTACACCACCACACAGGATGAAACAACACTCTCCCGCTAAGTCAACACACAGGATGAAACATCACCCTCCAGCTACATCACCACACAAGATGAAACAACACTCTCCAGCTACATCACCACACAGGATGAAACAATACTCTCCCGCCAAGTCACCACACAGGATGAAACAACACCCTCCAGCTACATCACCACACAGGATGAAACAACACCCTCCAGCTACATCACAACACAGGATGAAACAACTCTCTCCCGCCAAGTCAACACACAGGATGAAACAACACCCCCCAGCTACATCAGAACACAGGATGGAACAACACCCTCCAGCTACATCACCACACAGGTTGAAACAACACTCTCCAGCTAAATCACCACACAGGATAAAACAACACTCTCCCGCCAAGTCACCACACAGGATGAAACAACACCCTCCAGCTACATCACCACACATGATGAAACAACAATCTCCCGCCAAGTCACCACACAGGATGAAAGAGCACCCTCCAGCTACATCACCACACACGATGAAACAACACCCTCCAGCTACATCACCACCCAGGATGAAATAACACTCTCCAGCTACATCACCACACAGGATGAAACAACACTCTCCCGCCAAGTCACCACACATGATGAAACAACACTCTCCCGCCAAGTCAACACACAGGATGAAACAACACCCTCGAGCTACATCACCACACAGGATGAAAAAAACACTCTACAGCTACATCAACACACAGGATGAAACAACATCCCCCAGCTACATCACCACACAGGATGAAACAACACTCTCCAGCTACATCAACACACAGGATGAAAAAACACTCTCCCGCCAAGTCAAAACACAGGATGAAACAACACCCTCCAGCTACATCACCACACAGGATGAAACAACACCCTCCAGCTACATCACCACAAAGGATGAAACTACTCTCTCCCGCTAAGTCAACACACAGGATGAAACAACACTCTCCCGCCAAGTCAACACACAGGATGAAACAACACCCTCCAGCTACATCAGAACACAGGATGAAACAACACTCTCCCGCCAAGTCACTACACAGGATGAAACAACACCCTCCAGCTACATCACCACACAGGATGAAACAATACCCTCCAGCTACATCACCACACAGGATGAAACAACACTCTCCCGCAAAGTCACCACACAGGATGAAACAGCACCCTCCAGCTACATCACCACACAGGATGAAACAACACTCTCCCGCCAAGTCAACACACAGGATGAAACAACACTCTCCAGCTACATCACCACACAGGATGAAACAACACTCTCCCGCCAAGTCAACACACAGGATGAAACAACTCTCTCCCGCCAAGTCAACACACAGGATGAAACAACACTCTCCCGCCAAGTCAACACACAGGATGAAACAACACCCTCCAGCTACATCAGAACACAGGGTGAAACAACACTCTGCCGCCAAGTCACCACACACGATGAAACAACACCCTCCAGCTACATCGAGACAAAGGATGAAACAACACCCTCCAGCTACATCACCACACAGGATGAAACAACACTCTCCAGCTACATCACCACACAGGATGAAACAACACCCTCCGGCTACATCACAACACAGGATGAAACAACACTATCCAGCTACATCACCACACAGGATGAAAAAAACACCCTCCAGCTACATCAACACACAGGATGAAACAACACTCTCCCGCTACATCACCACACATGATGAAACAACACTCTCCCGCCAAGTCAACACACAGGAAAAAAAAACACTCTCCAGCTACATCAACACACAGGATGAAACAACACTCTCCAGCTACATCACCACACAGGATGAAACAACACTCTCCCGCCAAGTCACCAAACAGGATGAAACAGCACCCTCCAGCTACATCACCACAGAGGATGAAGCAAAACCCTCCAGCTACATCACCACACAGGATAAAACAGTACCCTCCAGCTACATCACCACACAGGATAAAACAATACTCTCCAGCCAAGTCACTACACAGGATGAAACAACACCCTCCAGCTACATCAACAAACAGGATGAAACAACACTCTCCAGCTACATCAACACACAGGATAAAACAATACTCTCCCGCCAAGTCACCACACAGGATGAAAGAACACCCTCCAGCTACATCAACACACATGATGAAACAACACTCTCCCGCTAAGTCACCACACAGGATGAAACAACACCCTCCAGCTACACCACCACACAGGATGAAACAACACTCTCCCGCTAAGTCACCACACAGGATGAAACAACACCCTCCAGCTACACCACCACACAGGATGAAACAACACTCTCCCGCTAAGTCAACACACAGGATGAAACAACACCCTCCAGCTACATCACCACACAGGATGAAACAACACCCTCCAGCTACATCACCACACAGGATGAAACAATACGCTCCCGCCAAGTCACCACACAGGATGAAACGACACCCCCCAGCTACATCAGAACACAGGATGGAACAACACCTTCCAGCTACATCACCACACAGGTTGAAACAACACTCTCCAGCTAAATCACCACACAGGATAAAACAACACTCTCCCGCCAAGTCACCACACAGGATGAAAGAGCACCCTCCAGCTACATCACCACACACGATGAAACAACACCCTCCAGCTACATCACCACCCAGGATGAAATAACACTCTCCAGCTACATCACCACACAGGATGAAACAACACTCTCCCGCCAAGTCACCACACATGATGAAACAACACTCTCCCGCCAAGTCAATACACAGGATGAAACAACACCTTCGAGCTACATCACCACACAGGATGAAAAAAACACTCTACAGCTACATCAACACACATGATGAAACAACATCCTCCAGCTACATCACCACACAGGATGAAACAACACTCTCCAGCTACATCAACACACAGGATGAAAAAACACTCTCCCGCCAAGTCAAAACACAGGATGAAACAACACCCTCCAGCTACATCACCACACAGGATGAAACAATACCCTCCAGCTACATCACCACAAAGGATGAAACTACTATCTCCCGCTAAGTCAACACACAGGATGAAACAACACTCTCCCGCCAAGTCAACACACAGGATGAAACAACACCCTCCAGCTACATCAGAACACAGGATGAAACAACACTCTCCCGCCAAGTCACTACACAGGATGAAACAACACCCTCCAGCTACATCACCACACAGGATGAAACAACACCCTCCAGCTACATCACCACACAGGATGAAACAACACTCTCCCGCAAAGTCACCACACAGGATGAAACAACACCCTCCAGCTACATCAGAACACAGGGTGAAACAACACTCTCCCGCCAAGTCACCACACAGGATGAAACAACACCCTCCAGCTACATCACGACAAAGGATGAAACAACACCCTCCAGCTACATCACCACACAGGATGAAACAACACCTTCCAGCTACACCACCACACAGGATGAAACAACACCCTCCAGCTACATCAACACACATGATGAAACAACACTCTCCCGCTAAGTCACTACACAGGATGAAACAACACCCTCCAGCTACATCACCACACAGGATGAAAAAAACACTCTACAGCTACATCAACACACAGGATGAAACAACATCCTCCAGCTACATCACCACACAGGATGAAACAACACTCTCCAGCTACATCAACACACAGGATGAAAAAACACTCTCCCGCCAAGTCAAAACACAGGATGAAACAACACCCTCCAGCTACATCACCACAAAGGATGAAACAACTCTCTCCCGCTAAGTCAACACACAGGATGAAACAACACTCTCCCGCCAAGTCAACACACAGGATGAAACAACACCCTCCAGCTACATCAGAACACAGGATGAAACAACACTCTCCCGCCAAGTCACTACACAGGATGAAACAACACCCTCCAGCTACATCACCAGACAGGATGAAAAAACACCCTCCAGCTACATCACCACACAGGATGAAACAACACCCTCCCGCCAAGTC